TCATCTTTTTTAAAATTGCTTGTGTGTGTGTGCTTACTTTGAAAATGTTTTACTTCGTGATAACCCTTATATCAATTCAGCGCCCAACAATCGTTAGTATCATGCCTCGGGCTGTCAGAATGGTAAGCACACCTTGCCTCCGGATTGTAGTTAGGAGAGGAAGTCTTAGGGTTCGGATGAGGGTTTATCACCGTAATCAAATTCATCTTCAACATATGTTGCAATGCTTGTGACAATGGCATATTTATTTGGGTGAACTGCCTTTGAGGTCTTTCCACCCTTGGCTGATTGTTTCGCTGTTGTGGTCGTTGTGTGCGTGCCGAATTAGAGATCAACACTACCCCCACAGATTGGTGGTAGTCTTCCTTGCTACGCCCCTTCTGGCCGTGCACAACATTAACTTCCCTCTTGCCACCAAATGACTTTTTCTCTGTACTCGAAGAGGTATTTTTCTGGATCTTGCCACTTCGGATCCCAGCTTCTACTCTTTCTCCAGTCAGAATCAGCTCGGTGAAACCTACTGACGAGCTACCGATCAAATGATTAAAGAATGGACCAGATAGCGTACCCAGAAACATATCAACCAAACTCCCTATCAGACAAAGGGGGTTGGACTCTCCCTTCCAGATCTCTCCATTTATGCCCGTAGTCCTTGAAACCTTCGCTTGCACCCATGGACATACTCTGGAGTTGAGTGCGGGTAGAGGCAAGGTCAGCATTATATCGATACTGCTTGTAAAAAGCAGCAGCCAGATCTTCCCAGTTATGGACATTGGTTCCCTCTAGTTGATAGAACCATTCAAGTTGAGTCCCAGACAAACTGTCCTGAAAGAAATGGACCCACAAGTTCCTATCAGTGGTGTGAGGCTGAATCTTCCTAACATAAGAACGAAGATGGAGTTTTGGGCAGGACACCCCATCATACTTTGCAAAATTTGGAGCTTTGAACTTATGCGGGGTGACCATTCCCGACACCAATCCCAATTCTTCGAAATCCATTCCAGGTATCCTCTGAACCTCCATGGCACTCAGACGATCTTCCAATTGTTTGTATCTATCCTCAACAAAAGGATATTGCTCATCATTATAATCGGTATCATTGTCAAACACTACAGGACTGAGGTCTTTCTCTTCTTCCTGATTCTCCCCTTCCTTGGATGAAGAGGTCAAATCAGTTTGTCGCTTCAACCGCTCTCCAAACCTTCTGCCCATATTCAGAATATCGATAGCCTTCTTCTTTTTCTTTTTCTCTTTCAGGATGAGGGCTTTCAAATCCTCATGCCCCTTTGCCAAACTTATGAACATTTGTTGGAATTGGGCGTTCTGTGTCTGAAGGTCCTTGATGCTTTGTTCGGAAGACATTTCTGCTGAAATAAACAGCGAAGAAGATGAGAAACCTGTAATGGTACTTGTTTATGCAATGTTATGGACGAGATGTGTATGCAACGATTTCAAGGATTCTTAAAGGCTCATATTTGTTTAACCAAAAGAAACACACATTAATTGCATTAATAAGTTCAAATTGTTACAAAGAATGCCTTTTAGGCTTACAATTAAACAAAACAAAACTTAAAGAAAGAAACTAGGTCTCCCAGGAGCGCATCCTCTTTGGCGTGATGTAGGCATTTATGTTCCTTTCTTCATGAATTAGCCTAGTAAGCTCCAGGACCTTCTTCTCTCTAGCATAGAACTGAGCTTCAAATGTGTCCCGCTCCTCTTTGAGTTGAACCCAGGACTTCGGTAACTCTTCATGATCGGTTGGCATGTCAGGATGATGACCAAGTGAAGTAGTGTCTCCTTTAGTAGTTGGCTCCACGGTTATTGGTAAGACAGCTGGGTAAGGCATCATAAGGCTTTGGTCGCGAGCTCGTACCCACCGGAGATAAGGCTCAAGAGGAATGGAATTCTTGTGTCCTAGCGCCTTGCTATCGATTTTATGCACCATGCCCCAAGCCTTTATGAACCTTTTATGGTATTCCTGAGCATCATTCTCATAGTTGAAGGCAATTCCTTGGACGAGCCTGTCATGTGGACCATCTCTTCTCGTATAACCAAACTGACGTAAGACCAAACAAGGGTTATAAGTGATTCCTCCCCTAATTCCTAAGAGAGGGACATTAGGGAATTCACCACAATGATCAATGATGGTAATATCTTCCGAGAACCATGAACACCAATGAATGTCTGAATGCTTGAGGGGCATCAGCCTACGAGACCATTTTAAACCTTATTCATTCTTCAAAACAGCTCTGGGTAGGTGTGAAATAAAACCACCTAGCCAATAGAGGAGTGCAACACAGGAGGGTTCCCCTTCTCTTTAGAGTGCGAGCATGCAGAGAGTGCAGAATATCTCCGAGTAATACAGGTACTAGATTATGAGACAGGAAAACCTTGATAGTGCTTACATCTACGAGTTGATCAACATTAGGGAAAAGTACCGTCTTGTATACGAGAAGTGCTAGAACCTCTTTGAAAGCTTGTAAATCTAAGGTATCCCAAAAATGATAATCCTTCTCAAATAGAAACTTAACCGGAATTCCTTAGACACTCCCTTTAGTCTCCCAATTTGCCACTATGTCAGACCGTTGTAAAGACAGAGCTCTAGCAATTTCTTCAGGATTTGGATGTTCTTACGTACCATTAAAAGGCAACTGGTCAAGAATATGTACCCCTAACAACTGAGAAAACTCCTCCATAGTAGGTACTAGCTGGTAATCCGGGAAGGTGAAACAATGGTGCACCAGATCGAAGAACTGAAACAACACTTTTAACAACTCTTCATCAGGTTTTGCAGTGACCAAATTGAGCAACTGACTGTGCTTTCTAGTGAAATGAGAACCTTCGAGAACCCTTAATGCCAGATCCTTTAGTTAGAGAGACACTTTCACAAGGTTGATCTGTATAGTGTTCCTACGGGCAGATGCCATGTCCTACAAAACAGAGCCAAAAATGAGCCCTAGAGAATCCTTGAAATGGTTAGTCATGATATGTTATGCTTATGATGTCATGATTAGGTTAGAAAATCACAGGTATAGCAAACAACAAACAAGTCACACCAAGTCCTTAGGTTTAAGGCTTGCATGAGCTTTAAGGTCATACCCTCTTGAATCGGCGAGGATATTGAGTTACTGATTTATTATTCGAATTATTGAATTATTAGTCGAACTGTATAACTAAACTAAATTAAATCAGATAATTCGGTTGAATATACCGGTCATTATAAAAAAATTATATAAATATAAAATAAAATGATTTTGTCTCTACAAAATGTAATTAGTATTTAATTTTTTTGAAAACATCATATCATAAATAAATTCATAATAAAAATAACTCTATTGTGTAGTTTCAAAAAAGAAAAATTATTTCAATATTAAAATCTCTTTCAATATTAAAATCATATGCAACAAAATCAACGCATATGCAAGATCATCGTCGTCAATGATATTATTACTTTATTTCATATTTTATTTAAATTTTTTATTAAAGTAATCAAAACAATATCATTTTAATTTTTTAAAATTAAAAAATAATTTAAAAAAACAATTAAATCACCGGTTTAAAAAAATCGTTGGATATTTTCGATTTTAGTGATTTACATCAATTTTTATTGATTTCTATCAATTCAATAAACATATTCAATCCAATTATTGAACCAGACCCATTACCTAACTAATTTTCGATTCGATGGATCTAGTTTTTAAAATATTGTGATGAATATATATTCATTCAATTGAGTCTTTTTCTTTTATAAAATTATTATTTAAAAAGAAAAAATTATTATAATGAACCACACAAATGTATTCAAATATGGTGTGAAACACTATTCAAGTGTTAAAATAACTTTCTCTTAATTAATATAAAATATATCTCTAATAAACAAATATTAGATTAATAAAAACATACAAATATTGAAAAAAACTACTTCCATAAAAAATGTTTGGTCATGTAAGAAACTGAAAATAAATTAGAATCTTGTTCATAAGAAATTGTTGACTATTAAAAAATAATTTAATTTAATATTTTTTAAACAGGAAGAGGAATAGTTGATTTAGACGTGAAGACTAGAAAAAAGCCGCGCGGCCCGTCACAATTAAAATTCAAACTAAGAAAATATTAATGGAATAATCTGATTGGTTAGTTTCTGGTGCCATGGATAGCGATCTCCACACCGTTTTTTCAGATGCTAGCAACCGTAGATGTATCCTCCCATCAACGGTTATTATCTTCCCATTTTCAAAACTCAAAATCTTCACAATCCCCGTTTTTCCCTCGTTCATTTCCCTACTATATATTACCCAAACACTTGCTTCCCGTTCATCGCATCTCAATTTTCCTTTCCCTCTTCCGAATCATAATCTCTTTCAGATCGCAATGGCACGCACCAAACAAACCGCTCGCAAATCCACCGGAGGCAAGGCTCCAAGGAAGCAGCTCGCCACAAAAGCCGCCCGGAAATCTGCACCGGCGACCGGAGGAGTGAAGAAGCCTCACAGATTTCGTCCAGGAACAGTTGCTCTGAGAGAGATTAGAAAGTATCAGAAGAGCACCGAGCTTCTGATCAGGAAACTTCCATTCCAGAGATTGGTACGAGAAATCGCTCAGGATTTCAAAACAGATCTACGATTCCAGAGCAGTGCCGTTTCTGCACTTCAAGAAGCTGCTGAAGCTTATCTCGTTGGTTTGTTTGAAGATACAAACCTTTGTGCAATTCATGCTAAAAGAGTTACTATCATGCCCAAGGATATTCAACTCGCTCGCAGAATCAGAGGCGAGAGAGCTTAAGATTTGTTAATTAGTTTGGTGTTGTTCTGTTAGGGTTTTGTAAGATACTTGATGAAATCCCCAAATATCTCAATTTAATGGTAAAACCATTGTTACTATTTGATCTAATCTTGTTTACTCTTAATTTATCTTTGTTTTTGGGAGAATATGAATATATGATGTTTGATTTTGTCTTATGAAAGAACGAACAGAATGAACGGCGTAATGCTTAGCACAAGCTAGGACATTTTTTTTACAGCAATAAATGGAACACCATTTGGCATATCACGAGGGATGTCCCCTTGCAATCCTAATATGATATCAGTTATAGCTTGTACTACTTTAGTTTCTTCGCTCGTTGAATGAGATGACCCCAATTGGTTCCATTTCTTAACTAAAATATCAGCAAGAAAATTGTTATATTCACCCTTATCTGAACTACAATTAACATTACCAGACCCACCAATTTCATTTACTTTGGTGTTTTTCTCAATACACATCTCATCTTGTAAAACCATATCAAAAGAATTAATATAACCTCTGCGAAGTCTCTTCCGCATGTCATGATATATATTGCGAATTGTCTGAGTCTTCCTCTTTGGAGCAGCAACTACTCTCTTGGTTCCGTTAACATTAGACTTGGCATGCTCCAAATTCTTCATGGCAGCAGAAGCTTCATATGACACATCAGAATCATAGAGAACAAAATGCCAACGTTCCCTCAACTCCCTAAGTGAATACCTTCGGGTGAAGTAAGCAACTCCTTTGGCCAGCGAAGCTCCAGTCCTAATGGCATTTTTGAGTAGGAATTTGCTGTCTGAATTTCAAGGGGGAAGAGGTGGAACTGCGCCTGATGTTTTTGACATAATGACTGGGAAAGCTTCATATGAGGGTTTCAGTTTCAGATAGGAAAGTTTCGATGGTAGGTCGGGTGGTTGCTCTTAGTATCCAAGAAAAGAGATAAAGAAGAAGATTCCACTCTGATTCAATCAATTGAAGTATTGTTTTTTGATGTAGTAGACGCAATAGACACCAAAAACAAGATGTGCTACACTTAACAACTAACGGAAAACCTGTTACGATTAACTAACTATGATAACTATATAAAGTAATAGGACTAATATTATTAATATGTCCCCTCAAGTTGGACTATGGATGTTGCAAAGTTCCAACTTGAATATAAAAGCGTGAAAAGAAGTCCTGTGAAGCGATTTGGTGAAAACATCCATAAGTTGCGTAGTAGATGAAACTGGTAATTGATGAATGACCCTTTTTTGAATCTTTTCTCTAACTACGTGGCAGTCAATTTCTATATGTTTGGTATGCTCATGAAATGTGGGATTATGAGCCAAGTAAATGGCAGAGACATTATCACAATAAACTGAAGTAAGAGCAGTGGTAGGAATCTGCTAATCAGACAGCAAATAATGAAGCCACTGCACTTCACAAGACAGACTGGCTAACACCCTATATTCAGCTTTCGATGAAGATCTGAATACAATTGATTGCTTTTTGGATTTCCATGAAATTAACGCTGAACTGAGAAAGACACAATAACATGTAATAGATTTGTGAGTATCCAAACAGCATGCCTAATCCGAAAAACCAAATAATTGCATAGAATTAGAAGCTGGAAAGAACAAACCTTGAGCCGGAGCAAATTTTAAGTAGCGAAAACTCGTGTTGCAGCATGAAAATGGGATTTTAGAGGCTTGGACACAAACTGACTAAGTTGTTGAACAGAAAACGCTATATCGGGTCTGGTATGGGTAAGATATAATAATCTTCCAATTAACCTTCTATATGCTGATTGATTAGAATAGGCAGAACCGCCTTCAGTTGTAAGTTTTATGGAAGGAATGGCAGGAGTGCTAGCAGGCTTGGCAGCAAGATGACCACTATCAGAGATGAGCTCCAAGGTATATTTTCTATGATTTAAAGAAATACATGTTTTGGTACGAACAACTTCGAGTCCAAGAAAGTATCGCAAATGGCCTAAATTTTTTATGCTTTCTCTCGACTATCCCGTTTTGTTGAGGAGTTTCCACACAAGTTCTTTGGTGGATAATTCCTTTACTTGAAATAAAATCATGCAACATAAGCTCAACGTCATTGTCACTTCTTAAACATTTTAGTTTAGAGCTAAATTGTGTTTCAATGAATGAGATGAAGTTTATTAAATGTTTTCTAGTTTGAGCTTTGGATTTCATCAAAATCACCCAAGTGAATCTACTAAAGTCATCAACTAATGTAAGAAAATATTTATGACCGAGAACAGATACATGAGAATACGAACCCCAAATATCAGCATGAAGAATATCAAAAGCATGAGAGTTTGAATAACGCTACTAAAATGAGGCAACTTTCTTTGTTTGGAAAAATGACAAATCTTACAGGAACTTTATCTTTATTGAAATGAACAAAAAGAAATTGAGAGGATATACATTAATGTCTAAGATAAGAAATATGTCCTAATCGCATATGCCATGAGACACAATCAGAAACAACATGTGAATTACAATTTGAAATAGAATGAAAAGGTGTGAAGCAAATAAAATTAGGAACAAACTTTGTTGCTTGCATATCAATTATGTATAAACCATCAACTAATCTAGTTGTACCAATCATCTTCTTGGGATTGTCCTTTAAAAAAGTACAAGATTCACCAGTAAAAACAACAAAACAATAATTTTCTCTAACTAATTGGGGAATATATAAAAGATTAGTGTGAAAGTTTGGAACAAATATAATGTCAGTAAGCTGCAGACAAGGAGAAAAATAGGCAGTTCTAACTAAACTGGAAGTGACAATAGTATTGTTTGGTAGGTAAATTGTTACAAGCTTGATAGGATGGATATTAACAAGTAAATAAATGTTGTTGGTGATGTGATTCGTGGCTCTGGTATCGATAATCCAGGAGAAAGAGTTCTTACCAAAATCAATGTTTGAGTTAGTGTTTAGGACAAGTGAATGAACAGAGTTGGAAGTGGGTTGAATGAAAGTTGTGTTGGCAGAATGTGTTTTAGAGGATGACTATTGCTTTGAAGTTTGAAGTAATTCCATAAGATTGTTGTATTGCTCTTGTGTGAAGGAAAAACCAGTATTGGATTTCTCAGAGGTAGAATAGGAATGAGCTGGTTCTGCATTATTCCTAGCCGAAGCTAAATTCGCAGAACTATTTGTGTGTCCTCCATGGTTGGTTCTAGTTTGATAACTTGGAAGAAAATCGTGCAAGAGGTAGCATGTATCCACTGTATCATTGGTTTTGTTACAGTGAGTGCATAGACGATTCTGATATGATGCTTGACACCCACCATTAAATCTTCCACGACCACGGTGATGGTAACCTCCACGGCCTCAGGAAGAAGCAGCATTGATAGATGCATTAACGTGCAACTTCTCAGTATTAGATTTTAATTCACCATCAGTTTCAACAATAGCAGGAATGTGAAATTGACGTTCTTGTTGAGTGACGAGCGCAAAAGTTTTGGCAACAGAGGGAAAAGAATCCATTAACATAATTTGAGATCGAACATAGGGGTATTCATCGTTTAGCCCTTTCAAAAACCTAATGGTATAATCTTGATATCTAAAGGTTTTCAAGGATTGAACTGCTCCACATGAACATTGAAAACATTGAATAGCACATTTACATGTAGGTAGTGGACGAAAATTTTCTAACTCATCCCATAACAATTTTAACTTAGTGTAATATCGAGAAACATCAAGGGTTCCTTGAGACATTCTACATATAGATTCATGTATATCAACAATTCTAAGCATATCACCTTGATCAAATTGAGCATGCAGATCTTGCCAAACGTCATAAGCTTTACCATAGAAAGCAATGGACTTGCGAATATTCTCTGAAACTGAATGTTGAATCCATGCAAGAATAAGACTATTACACCGATTCCATTGATTGAGAATAGCATCAAATTTCGATGGAATTGTAATCGTTCCATCAACAAAAACGATATTGTTCTTCGATATTAAAGCAATGTGCATCGATCTAATCCAAGATTGAAAATTAAGGTTTCCTTCTAAAGGGGATGAAACAAGATTGATTGCTGGATTTTCACTAGGATGAAGAAAGAAAGGATTGGATACATTCGTAGCAAAATCAGCATACGACTCAAAGCTCGAATTCGTCATTTTTGATGAAAATTTGAAAGAGTTTGAAACGATGCACGAGATACGATGAACAAAAGAAAAATGAGAGATCCTGATCTCAATGATTGAGCTCTGATACCATCTAAATATCCAAGAAAAGAGATAAATAAGAATAAAATTCCGTTGTGATTCAATCAACTGAAGTATTGTTTTTTGATGCAGTAGACACAATAGGCACCAAAATAATATATACAAGATGTACAACACTTAACAACTAACTGAAAACCTATTATAATTAACTAACTATGATAACTATATAAAATAATAAGACTAATATTATTAATAGTTTCGATTGCAGATCTGTCGGAGATGCCGCTAGAGGTTGTGTCAAATCCGATAGTTTCGTCAGATGAGATGGCACCATAGTTGTCGATAAAAGAGACATCAAAGTTGTCGGAGAAGACGTCAAAATTATGGTTGAAGTTAGGAATGGCGTCGAAGAAGACGTCAGGACTTTCGTTGGAGCCAACAACGTCACTGGAGATGCCATTTTTCCTTATATTTCTAAAGGTTTCGGTGGAATTGAAAGGGATTGGACCGACTACTGCTTCAAATTTGGATAAGAATTTAAAAAAAAATCACGAACAATTGGAGTGTATTCACAAAGAGCGGGTTTCTCAATGGTGGAAGGTGTGTTTGTTGGTTTTTGTTTAGAAAATATAAACTGTGAGTCAGTTGGTTGTCTTGCGGGTTGGTAAGGAGTGGAAATATGTTGGTGGTAGAGAGGTGTGTGATAGTCGTATGCTTGTTGTTGAAGGATATGAGTGTTGATGTGGGTGGAGTTAGGGTGTGTGTTTGGGGAAAATTATGAATAAGATGGATATGGGTTAGGAGGTAGATATGGTGAATATCCATGATTTAAATATAATTTTGATGATGAAGATGTAACATGAGTGTAACAAGGTGTAAAAATTTTCTATGGAAAAGATGGAAATGAGGGTGTGGTAGGAGTGGTGTCTATGGTGGAGTGGTAAGATGGAAATGAAGGTGTATGATAAGTATAATCCATAGAAGAATTTGAGAACATGGATGAAAGTATCAATTGATAGGAAGATTCCTATCAAAGCTATAAACTAGGGTTTCTACTAGAAAAGGGGAAGAACATTAAAATGACTTAATAGAATAAAAGGGAAAATAAAATTCATTTCATTTGATTGATACTCTAATGTCTCGATGAGACTACAATATATAACACTTCTAACTGGGATAATAAACTTAAAGGTCCAAACACTACTAAGAGTCCAATTCAACAAAACATTCAAAATAAAATAACAACTAACATAATTATATTACTAACTAATTGCACCTCCTATCATATGATTACTTAGTGTTGCACATCAAATTTTACTCTGAGTTTCTCATTCACATTCATATATCGAATTAATTTTCATTTACATATTTACATTTTTAACGTACATTTACATTTGTTTTCAATTTTTATTTTTTACCCATATATATATATATATATATATATATATATATATATATATATATATATATATATATATATATATATATATATATATATATATATATATATATATATATATATATATATATATATATATATATATATATATATATATATATGTGTGTGTTTTTTTCCTTTAGATAAATAATAATTTGTTTTTTATTTGTTTTATTTTATTATTACCTTTTAATTGAAATATAAAAAAGTACATGTGTTGTATATTTATTTAATAATAAGCCGTTTCACAATAACCTCCGATCCTTCTATTCTATCCTACAAACCAGCTGTTGGCTCCTAAATTCGACACCTTTATTTTGATTGATGGCAGCCATTAAAAGCTGAAAGATGCTTTCGACTGGCTAAGCCTGTCGAAGTGCCCGTCGAAAGATGGCAAAATACTTAGAAGATTTCTTCCAAGGAAGAAGGCTGATTGCCTTCGACGTCGAAGGAGTTTTTGTCGAAGACGTTTCTTGATGAAAGTGTTCGATGGTCCAGAGTGGAACAGTTTGAAATTCAAAGCTTTGGAGGGAAAACGGTTTCCAGCAGTTACTACGTGCAAACGTGCAAGGATCTGGAGCGTCGAGCATGGAGAACGTGCCAAGTGGCTTAATCTCGAAGCAGTGTAACTGCCCGACGGTTACTTGGAATGTTTTAGTATAAATAGGAGTAGACATGTAGTTTCTCACGTGTGTTCACAAATAGATACATAGTCACTCATTTAGATTCAAGTACCCAGTGTGAGCGAAAGAATTGTTGAGAAATGTATGTGTGAAACACCAATTTTATCAATTAAAGTCATTTACTTTTCCAGTATTTTACTTGCTTTTCTCCTTTAAATTCCTGTCGAACCTTTACTTTAAAGCCTTGTTTATTTTACCAAGCCTTTCCTTTATGCAATTTACTTGAAACATTTTACTTAAAGCCTTATCCACCTTAATCAAACTTCAAAATCAACCTATGTCCATAGGATCAATCTGATCGATCCTGCGAGTAACCAAATAAGTAACCATTTGGAGGATCAGCGGTTGTTTACCAAAACCCAAGGTAAACAAATTGGCACACCTGGTGGGTTTTTGCAAATATCATAATTTTTTGGGCCATAAAACTTCTCAATGTTTTCTTTTCAGGAATCTTGTGCAAGACGCTATTGAGGAAGGGAGATTAAAGTTTGCTGACAAATCCCCCATGGCTGTCGACTCCAATCCACTAAAGGCTGAAGCCCACTACGCAGAACCCTCTGAAGTGAACATGATAGAGGCGACCAGCATCCCGTCGAAGAAGCCAGGAATTACCATGGTCGAAGTCTCAAAGGACCACATCAACATGCCAATCTTTGGCAGTTTTTCTGGAAATTTATCCAGGAAGACAATTGAGGCTGTCCAGAAAGCGGTCGAAGACCCGAAGTCGAAGACTGCTGAAGCACAAAAAACTGGACCAAAGCCCAGTTCCCACTTGGCCACTGTACAAGGCCAGACGGAGAATCTGGAGACACAAATGAAGCAACTAACGCTTGCTACTAAGGATACCATGAATATCAACATGGTTGAACTTTCTGACCCTAAAGCTTCAGAAGAAGCCATAAGGCAAGAGCAGGCAAATAAAACGGCTTTCCCTAGGGAAAACGAAAACTTGGCAGATTTTTTGCAAAGATGCCAGAAGAAGAAATCAGAGGTGATGCTATGTCCAAGATGCAGTTCTATCTTTGATAAAAAAAGCTGCTGAGCACATACAAGGCGTAAGAGCAGCGAACAGGAGAAGGGAGAATGCTGACCTTCGACATGATCCCAGGAGGGGTTCTAATCAAGACAAGAGGCCATTGACTTTTAGGCCTCCAACAAATGTACCAGTAGACACTTGGTACAAAACATCTGGCCGGAAAAGGCCAAGTGAAGAGAAATGGCATTCTTTCGACGTGCCAAGAGGTTCCTCTTTAATTCAGAAGAAAGAGCCTCAAGTTGCTGCACCCAAGGTTGCTCAAGTGTCCAGCAACTACAAGGGAAAAAAATCCTATGTCGAGATCCCAATGGAGGAGATATCAAAGAAGGCGAAAAGCTGAAAGGGAGGCTGCCAACGAACCTAAGGCAGAAACTAGTTCGAATGTGCCTCAAAGGAAACAAAGAAAGCCTCTTGAGAGAGAACCAGTTACCAATAGGTTGGTTTGGCCTAACCAAAGTGAAGTCGAAGACGAAGATGATGCTGAGTCCGACGATACTCTGGATATAATGGTGAATATTGTTTCAGTACTGCCTAGGGAATTCAATCGACAGGTAGAAGTCGAAGCCAGTGACTGGGAGGTGGAACAAGAAATGGCCAAACATAGGCCAGTGTGCTATTTTGTCATGGACAATGGCACTACAGAGGAACAAAATGGCTTCTTCGAGCCACCTACAGAGGCGATGAAGAATCACCTCAAACCTTTGTTCATAAGGGCTAAGCTCGAAGAGACCACTGTGAACAAAATATTGGTCGACTGTGGGGCCACTATCAATATTATCCCTCATTCTATGCTAAGGAAGATTGGCAAAAGGGATGAAGAAATCAAACCCCACAATATGGTCCTGTCCAACTATGAGGGAGGCATTGGGACCACCATGGGCGTGATCCAGCTAGACATAAAAGTTGGGTCGATCCTTCGACCAACAATGTTCATGGTCATATCGGCCAAACCTAACTACAACCTCTTGTTAGGCCGTGAGTGGATTCATGGTGTTGGCGCTGTGCCTTCATCGATGCATCAAAGACTGCTGCTATGGCGTCCAGATGGGATGGTCGAAAACATAGAGGCGGATCAGAGTTACTACCTTGGCGAAGTGAATCACTTAGGTGTAACAGATTTCGACAAAAACTTGGCTCATATAGGGCCATGTCCAACTCCTGACTTCGACATGGCGCCAGCGCCAAACACCTTTTGTTCCCTATACCTGCATCCTGAGCATGGTTTCCAATGGGACAGAGAAGACTTGTCCCACATAGACTTCAGTGGGCTAACTGATATCCAACCAACTGGTTGGGGAAGTGAATTCAGTGATAATGACTGAGTCACAATCTCTGAAGCGAATTTCGGCTTATGTGGCCGAAACCAAGATGATAACGGCTCTCGAAGCCGAAGTAAAGTATATGGCCACACAGGCCAATGATCAACAATTATCTGCTGTTGGCCCAGGAAAGGATTTCGATCCAAGACCTCCTGATATCATGCCAGATGAAATGCAGGAACAGAGGCTCGACGCCATCTATGACGATGAGCCTTTGGGCTTCGAAAAGGATCCCTTGGCGAACAACATTAAGATGTTAGCACAAGACCCTTTAGAAGAAATCAACTTAGGCGAAGGATCAGAGAATAGGCCAACTTACATCAGCGCCAAAATTGATCCAGAACTTAGGTTGGAAGTAATCCAATTGCTGAAAGAGTTTAAAGACTGTTTTGCATGGGATTATGACGAAATGCCCGGTCTCGACAGAGGATTGGTAGAACTTCAGTTGCCAATCAAACCTGGAAAGAAGCCAATCAAGCAAAATCCAAGACGCTTCGCTCCAGAAATATTGTCGAAGATCAAAACGGAGGTCGAAAGACTTCTGAAATGCAAATTCATCCGTGTTACAAGGTATGTCGAATGGATTGCAAATATTGTGCCAGTAATTAAGAAAAATGGCACATTAAGGGTGTGCATAGATTTCAGAGATTTGAATGCTGCCACCCCCAAAGATGAATATCCTATGCCTGTGGCGGAAATGCTAGTCGATTCTGCCGCTGGCTACGAATACCTGAGTATGCTCGATGGTTATTCAGGATATAATCAAATATTCATTGCTGAAGAGGATGTGTCGAAAACAGCTTTTCGATGCCCTGGGGCCTTAGGCACTTACGAATGGGTAGTGATGCCTTTTGGCCTAAAGAACGCTGGGGCAACGTACCAGCGAGCAATGAATACTATCTTCCATGATTTTATTAACACTTTTATGCAAGTTTATATTGATGATATTGTTATAAAATCTGTTTCCAGGAAGAGTCACATTGACCACCTTCGACAATCATTCGAAAGAATGAGAGAACATGGTCTGAAGATGAACCCTTTGAAGTGTGCGTTCTGTGTGAAAGCTGGAGATTTCTTGGGTTTCGTTGTCCACAAGAAAGGAATCGAAATAAATCAGAACAAGACGAAGGCAATTTTGGAAGCGAAAGCGCCATCGAATAAGAAGGAATTGCAATCTCTCTTAGGCAAGATAAATTTCTTGAGAAGGTTTATATCTAACCTAAGTGGGAAAGCTCAGGCCTTTTCACCCTTACTTCGACTGAATAAAGAGGGGTTTGAATGGGGGCAAGAGCAACAAGAAGCCTTCGACAAAATCAAAGGGTACCTCACTAAGCCACCTATTTTGGTGC